TGTCTCCAAAGACTTGCTGGCGGCTGAAACCAAACTATCCGAATGCGTGTTCGTTCATAGCTCCGCCTCGATTGCATGAAACCGTAAACCTTGAAGACATGCCGCGGGTGCACCAATGCTTCGCACTCCCAAAAAAAACAGCTCCAAGAGTCATAGCCAGCCTGCGTGATAAGAAACTGCGGAGGTCAATCTTTTTCCATGGATACATCAGAATGGGCTGTCCGTAAGTAGTTACGAACCATGAAGTACCACAAGGACGAAGGCTGTCTTATCCTTGGCGTCGAAAACCTGCATTTCTGGGTAGGTGATCCATAGGAGTCCTGGCCGCTCTTCCTGTCGAGCACGCGCCTTTGCCGCTGCCTGTGACGTCGCGCTCGCTCACGAAAACGGCGAGCATCGTGGTCAGGGGAACTGAGACAAGATGCTAGGCTTGCTGTCGACCTCGTCCAGCATGCGTCGATGTTCGGTAAGAAAGGTGTCCTGGCCGTACCGATGATCCATTGGAAATCTCGCTCCACGTAGTCGCAGGTGTATACTTGCCCATGGAAGCCGCGCAGATCCTGAGATATATTCTCGAAAACCCAGGCCATGACCCAAGTCATTCCTCGATGCATGTGGCGATAACTGATGTAGCCGCCACTGCAATACCACTGCTGGGGTAAGCATAGGTAAGTCTGCACCACCGTAAACCTCCTCAGTCATGCTAGGCCAGTACTTCCCCGCGTCCGCCCTGCGTTTTATGTTCCACGTTTGGGGCCAAACGTCCGAAATATAGAACGGCACTTGAAACGTCACCCACGCGCGACAAAATCCGCTCGGAAGCACAAACTGCCAAGCCCGATGTTGAGCTGGCAGTGAAGGTGTCGCATTGATGAAAACTGCGTGGTCGTCGACGTCGCCGTAGATGGCGTTGAGGTTAACATGGCCGGAGGCTGTCGAACAAGAACTAGAGCTAGCTGCCGTGCACGATCGATTCGGCATGATCCATCCTCAGAATCAGGACCACTTGCACCCTCTATTCCTGGCGCTGCCGTCATGGGCGCCAGGGAGACAGCGTCGATGTCTTTGGACCCCCGAGGGTTCTCAAGCTGTTTGCCAGCCGACGTCCTCGAAACCTCGTTGAAGGACTGCGTGACTGTTTTGCGCAACGCATGCTGCTCAGCCCAGTTGCCTTTCTCGAACCTGCCAATGGGAAAATGTTCGCGGCATGGCCTTGGCCCTGCGATGACTTCCAATTTCAAGGTCTCGCCAAAATCCTGATACCATCTCCCCCTTGAAGAACACTACAGAGCATTGAAGACTGTTATCGTAGCATTACGCCGAGCAGCAATAGACCAAGGCCTTACTGGTCAAGATCGCCCACCATGCCAAAGCCAACGATAACTTCAGCGACTCCAGGAAGTGGAATGCCAAAAAGGTGCTTCTGCCAGCCCTTGACTTCTGTCTCGCCGGCCCCCGATGCCCATGAACCTGCCGCCCGATGGGCCGACCTCGAGGACCTTGCCAAACTTGGGCAAGATGTCGGCGATGCAGGCATTCATGGTGTCAGTGCCCACGATGGCTTTGGCTGCCACAGTCTCTACGAACACCCCCTGCATTGGGCGCCCACGTGCCACGTGAAAGTTGGGATATTCTGCAGGGCAGATCATTGCTGGACGCCCAAGAGAAATAGAATGGTCGACTGGCAAAATCGCCTGTCCGCGCGCGGAGAACACCGAAAACACCGTCGCTGTAAAGGGAGCACTCCTCGCCAGGGAACTGGCGCCTCCAGTCGCTCGGGCTGCCGAACTCGAAGGCCTCGAACTCCGAGCCCCCAGGTCCACGGGGCCCTCGACGCCAAGCACGCGACCTCTCCTGGCCGGAAGACTGCCACTGCTGAACGCGGGCAGTAGCCTCGGCAACCTGTCGGAGGGAGGCGAGCCGCTCGAGCCTCGATGCGACGATAGAGAGTCTCGGGGGACAAGCTGCGGCCACGGATGGAAACTCTAACGCTCGGCAAGTGGCGTCGCCATCGGCTTGGCGTCGATTGTCCCACTGTCCCCCACGAATCAGAAGCACCCCGCTATAGAGGTACCTGGACATGGTGCGCCGTCGTCATGCTCATGCCATCCGTAAAGGAAACCGCCGTCTACCATGAGGCCCCACCGCCTACTGCATAGCCACGCTCGCCCAGTTGAGCCTCTACTTCTCCGAGATAAACAAGTCGATACTCGAGAAGAAAAATGATCGCTGCTTCTAGCCAGGATCTTTCATGAGGTAACGCAGGACATCTGCCGTGGCACTCCTTTATATACTGCGGCCAACGGCGAATCAGCCTTCGAGGCTTCCGATTGGTCTGAAAATGTCTCAAGCTCCACTCAGAGGCGTTGGGCCGGCGGTTTTATTCAGCGACAAGTCGAAACGCTATTCGTTCAGGCACATCACTTACATGATCGTTGTTTCTAGCCAGCATCTTGCTTGAGGCCGCACAGGACATCCACCGCGGCACTGCCGCATATACTGAAGCCCACGGCGACTCAACCGAGACTTCCATCACAACCTACAGACACCCCATATTTAAGCACGCCACTGCACTCACACAACTCTAGCCCTAGGAGGCCACGTTACACACCGGCGCGACTATCGCGACGGACCCCCGGGGCAGCCAATTAGATTTAAAGAATTGCCGTATCATTAAAATTTCACGCTGGGCACTCGGCTGGGGGAGGGTAGAAACGAGGAACGAGCAGAGAAGAAGAAGATAAGCAATCTTCAACTTCGCGAGAAACAGACAACGTGCTTTGCCCGCTAATTCGGCGCGAGGCTTGCCGGTATACAAGCACACGCTGCGGCGGCCAACACACACAATATATATATATATATATATAAATTAGGAAAGCTTTGCTCGGGGCGGCAGCACCAGAAACGCAATGACTTCTACAACTGGACGGACGACCACGCGGTCAGTAGTCCACAATGCGTTCTTGGAGGGCCCCAGGCTCCCACAAAGTTTTGCGGCTCTGGCGCAACCATAGAACACTCTGCCAGGGTTCCCCTCCCCTCCAGGGATAGACAAACTGATACGCAGCCTCTGAATCTGACCCGAGATGGACCCGAGACGACTGGGAACCTGGAGCAATTCTAGATCAGCGCCAACAAGCCCAGGGAGCCGCAGGGGTCGAGATGGAGACCTCAGGGCACGGGGCATTCGGCTCCAGAGGGGCCCCACGCGCTCTGGAATAGCCTTCGCACGGAGTGCCAAGCCAGACAGCCTCTACAATCCCCGAAAAGATCCGCCCCGGAAGAACGCGTCACACCTCGGGGCTTGAAAGACTGAAGAGTTCACCACGTCTCACGCCCCACTCGATAACAGCCTCTCCTCGAGCTCCGAGGTGCCTGCTCAACTCGCCACGGCCTGACAATATTTGAATCGTCGCCTTGCTCTGGCGGCCACGCGCGGCACTCAACGCCCCGCGAAGCACGTCGCGAAGGCGGGCTCGATGCCAGCCGCTGCGCCACGCAGCGCCAGGAGGCACAGATGCCCGGGCTTCTTCTGCTCGCGCCCGAGCCTCCCGTGCTTCTCGTAGCGGGCCACGCTGCGCCACGCTCGCCACCCTCCGCGCTGCTGGGCGGCGGCCAATGACCTGGCGCCCACGCCCAGGTCGTGGCTGGCGCCACCGCGGCGCAGGGAGTAGAGGGCGCCCTGCAAGACCTCGGCACCAACGGCGATCAAGGCCTTCTCGAAGCTCCGCGCGAAGTCCACGCACGCGAGGTCGAGGAACTCCAGCTTGGACCCACGGTGGCGCATCACGGCCACGACACGGCGGCTGAGCCAGCACTGCCTGCTCAAGTCCAGGGAGGCGCTCAGGTCGAAGGCGGTCCGAGGCGGGACCATCGCCTCCTGGGCCCCGATGACAAAGGTCAGCATGTAGATCTCGAACATGATCACGACCCCCAGCGCGGCGCGCGGCCGGCCGCGCTGGAACGGGCACGCGGCGGCACTCGCCACCACCACCCAGGGCATCGGCGGACGCGACAGCTCCGGGCACTGCTGCACCCAGCCCTTCACGGCCTGCTGCAGCACGGGGAAGGTCATCAGCAGCGAACCTGCCCCAAACGTGGATCCCCCCACCACTGGAGGGCTGGCCCCACCCGCTTGGCCGTCGCACTGGCCCCCTCCCGGCCGAGGAGCCACTCCGCGAACTCCACCGCCACGGCATCCCACTCCGTTCGCGACCACGATGGGAGGGGCTCCACACGGAGCCGGCTGACCAAGGCCACGAGCACGCCCAGGTAGACCACCTGCGTCTGCAGCCTCACCTTCTCCGCGGCCAGGCAATTGAGTCCGGGACACTGCTCTCGGCGCGCCCGCTCGACCTGCGCCCGCCGCTCCTCGTCGCCGGGCGGAGCGCGCCGCCCGCGCCTCCGCTGCGAGGCGCGCCCCTGGCCCAGGCTCGGGGCCCGAGCCCCGGGGCTGCCCCGCAAATCGGGCTGGCGCGCCGAACGGGACCGACTGCACCCCTCGGCGACTCGGCCTGAACTGGAACTCCAGCACGCGGGGGGCGCAGGCGCCCGCGCCACCAGCGTCGTCCTCTGCACGCGGCCCGCAGCCCTCAGCTCGCTCGGGCCGAGGTGGCCGACGCCGCCGAGCGGCCTGGAAGCCAGGGCCCCACTCGGAAGGGGCCCATCTGCAGCGAAGGCGAATGTCAGCAGCAACGCTGAGAACGAAAACGACCCAGCAACTGAGGAGAAGACGGCGATGTGACGCACTCCCCTTTGCCGACGCAAGTGCGACTGACATGTTGTCTCCGAGCGCAAGACGGCGCAGCCCATGCTGTCGCGAATCTTTGGCCACGCGACGCGCAGCCCAGCATATCGAGGAGGCCCCATGGCAATGGATAGGTTCTCGTCGCTTCCATCGCCCACAGCCTACCACGCGCCAGAGAGCCAACAAACGCATCCGAGCTCGCCACAGCAAACTCTGACACCCGCCCGGCCAACACCAGCGCGGCATCCGGCGCCTGCACGATCTCGCCCGTACGATCTCGGCCTCAAGCGCCCTGTCTCGGGGCGCCCCTGCCGCGGCCAGCGGCCCTCCGAAGCGAGCCCGCTCTGAGAGCCGCCCGCGGGCCACGACATCAGCAAGAGCCCACTCCGCCTCCACGACGCCGCACCCCCAGGGCGAGGCATCGCAGACGGCGACCGTCGGCGACCACTTCTCGCGCGCGTCGCCGACGACGCGCGGCAGGAGAGACCGCGCCCAGTCCAGCTCGGCCCGGACACTGGCCGCCAGCGGCTGGCGCTTCTGGACCGACGTCTCCGCGAAAGTGCAGCGCGCAGAGAGCATGGCCAGAGACTCCCGCCTCAGCACGCAGGCGGCCACGGTGCGCCCCAGGATGCGCTCCAGCTCGCGCCCAGTCACCTCGAGGCCCTCGGCGTCGAGGAGGTAGTCCAGGGACCCCATCAGCCTCCAGAAACGCTCGGGCCGAACTCGCCACCTGCCAGACAGACGATCCAGCTCACAGCCAAGCAGCTCGGCCGCGCCCCTGGAGCAGACCTCGACAGCGCTGACCACACAGCGCTCCGCCAGGGCCTCCTGCATGACCCGCGCGGCCCCCTCGGCACGCGCCCCGTCTACGGAGGCGACGGCAAAGTTATCGATGTAGAGCGCCTTGGCATCCTCAGACCCCAAATCGATACCAGAACGCTTGTCAAGAACCTAGCGCCCGCTAGCCCCTTAGGAAAATCGAAAGCGCATCGTACTCGTGTCCCGATGGATGCCGAGACGCCGGCGCATGCCACAGATAGGCACTGCCCCTTCACTGACGACAGCGCGAAGTAGCCCCTCAGCCACTCTGGCAGCTCGTACTGGTAGAAGCACACCTCGACATCACCTGCGCTGAACCCCACTGCTCCAGACTCGTGGTGCTCGATGGCCGCCAGGGACCCGGGGCTGGCGAGCTTCGCGTACTCAGGCTCAGCAAAATGAGTGCTGGCGGCGCGCGCGTCAGCGATCAAGCGTAGTTTGTCGCGTTTGCGCTGCACGAAAAACAAGCCCATCTCCTCCTTCGGCTCCTCGCGAGTTACCTCCAACACGCTGGCGTCAAACAGCTCCGACATAACGTGGCCAGAAAATCGCACCCCAGACGAGCAAACTTAGGAAGCAAAACTGCAGCGCCGGGCATACCGCGGGCGCCCCCCTGCATTGAAAGCAGCCGGTCGGGGGGCCCCGGCTGCCCCCCGAGACGCGAACTCAAGGCGACGACTCACCCGTCCCCACCGCCTCCACCTGAGGGCGAGGGTTTCTTCTTGGAGTTGGCCTTCGCCTTCGCTTCGGAGGATGCGCGCCGACAGGGGCGCCAGGAAGTGGGACAGGAGCTGCGCGCATGTACGGGGCGGGCTCCGAAGCGCCAGCAGGAGCCACGCCGTGGGCCGGCAGCTTCTCCCCACGCCCTTTCCCCCGTTCTTTCAACATCGCCACCTCCTTCTGCAGCCGCTCCGCGACCCACTCCTTCAGCTGCGGGTCCACGAGCGCGGAGCCGCGACCCTTCTTCTGGCCCAGGAAAGTCTCGTACTCGTCGAGCCAGGCTGTCCCACCGGCGCCGCTGCCGCCCTCCGCCTCGCGCAGGGCGGCACTGTGCACCTCCTCCCGGAGCTGGCAGCGTCGGCACACCATCTCGCTCAGCACTAGGCTCGGCAGGCACATCTGGTCGATCTGACTACCGACCTCCAGCATCTCACTCATAGGGGGCCACATGCGAACCCTACCCCCACCCCCCACGACTTCTGAGGGGGAGGGCGGGGCTCACTTCGTGCAGGAGCTCCCGAGCGAAGTGAACCCCACCCTCCCCCCCAGAAATCGTGGGGCGTAGGGGTAGGGCTCGCACGTGGCCCCCCTAACTCAGGAGCGCGTGCTCGTCCACCCCTGGGTCTTGGGCCGCCAGGCTCTGGCCCTGCCGCCACCGGTGGCGCCGCTGCACTGGATGTCTGCCCTGGCTTCACGAGCCTGGCCATCGCTCGGACGTTTATTTCCCGTGCATTTTTCGGTTTCGTGCGTGGATGTTTCGCCAATCAAGGATGCTCCTCGATGGTCCTCGCCGAAGAAAAAATGCACACGTCCGAGCGATGCCAGGGAGCTGCTGGAGCAACCAGGCGCACGTCCTTCGACCAGTGATGGGCCCGCCTGGAACGTCAGCCGATCGCATGCCCCGCACAGCTTCCACGAACGGCCTGGAAGTCTCTCCCATGATATCCGTCATCATTGCGAGGGCACGGACGTCGGTCGCTCGTGGCGTCGCTGTGGACACCGCCCCTGGCTCAGCCACCGCAAGCGTCGCACCATGCGCCAGCTCCCGCAACCCCCTGTCACCGAAGACGACGTTGGGCCGAACTCGTCGACATACATTTCCAACCGCATAGCCTGCTGGAGTTTCTGCAGCTTCCCAGTCAACAGGCGGAGCATCACCACCGACTCCGCCCGCCA